GAGAGGGCCCGGGTGGGTATTAGGAAAAACTATTTCACTAGGAGGGTGGTGAAGCACTGGAATGGGTTACCTAGGGAAGTAGTGGAGTCTCCATCCCTAGAGGTGTTTAAGTCTCAGCTTGACAAAGCCCTGGCCGGGTTGATTTAGTTGGAATTGGTCCTGCCTAGAGCAGGGGGCTGGACTTGATGACCTTCTGAGGTCTCTTCCAGCTCTATGGTTCCAGGAGAATGACCTCAGGGGCCAGGCAGTGTGGTCCCTGCCACCCTGGGGGAGCCCTCCCATATCCCCCAATCCTCTGCCCTGACTCCTGCTTCCCACCCCCTGCTGTGAGTCCTTCCTCACACCCCAACCCCGATTTCTATACCCCCCCAAGCTCTCAGCCCCCTTCCCTGATCTCCCACATCCCAAAGCTCCTGACCTGACTCCTGCACCCCCTCATCCCTTCCCCTGAACCCCTCCTTAAGGACTTGAGCAATGCCGGGTCAGTGGGCTAGTACTGGATACAACATTATTAATGTTCATTCTCTTAAATAGCAAAGACTTACAGACATAACATGACAATTGAAATAAATCAAAATAAAAAAACGTGCTCTGCGGCGACCTCTCAGGGGTTCAGGCAACAATTTCATTTCCCTCCAGCCCTAGTACACCATAACTGTGCTACGTGCACGTGAGGGGGGATTTCAGCACTTCCTCAACCAAGCTGTGTGGGACATTTTACACCCAACTCCCACCTTGACATACACCCGGCTCCAGCTCACATTTGATACCTTTTCCCTCCCCCCCCCACACAGAGACGGGCTAAACCATTCCCACCAGAGAGAGCAATGAGGATTGGACTTACCGAGGGCTGGCCCATGCTGCTTCCGCGTTTGCAGCCCTTGTCTGGGATGAGTTCCAGTGAGCGGTAACTGGGCGGCTTGTCTTCTGGCCAGCCTGGGGAACGACGGTGGCGTTGTCTGTAGTTCCCCTGGAAGTGTTCGTGCTCCTCTGCCGAGCTCCACGAGCCTCGCCGGGATGGAGGAGAGTAGCTGCGACGCCGGCGTCCCCGCTGCTCTGAATGGTTACTCCTTCTGTTGGGGTGTTGATACTTTTGCCTCTCTAACGGCAGCTGCCTTGGGTCACAGCTGTGGTCTGAACGATCTCTGGTCTCCTCAGGGTAGGATATGCCCCCATACCTACCGTGATCCGGCCGTTGCCTGGGCGATACATCCCGCCTGGAACTCCGGTGCCTGCCATCATAGCTGCCCTCCCGCGGCCTCGGGTCTCGACCCCTGTCCCTGGAGTTCCGATTGAAGTTGGAGTGAGAATCCCTATCCACAGGCTGGTGTCGTCTCCAGTCCTCCCTCTCATCCTCTGTTGCGGATCCCCAGGGCCCTGCAGCGTGGCCAGCTCGTTGCAGGTGTGACAAGTTACTGCTCCTCTGAGAGGATGGGATGAGCTCCGTGATGGGTGGCAGCTGGATTACCCTGCGCTCCACAATCTCTGAGCTCAGGGAGGAGAGCATACTGGGATGCTGGTTGGCCCCAAAGTGGTGGGAGGGTATCAGGGGCTGGGAAGGGTTGAGATTTTGGACCTCAGACTCCAGATAGTCCAGGACGTTGTTTTGGGGGTGTAGCTGGCCCTGTGAATGCACCAGTGGGAGGCTACTTTGCAGAGAGACATCTAACAATGGGAGACAAGAGAGAGCAACAGTCGGGGGGAAGCAGTAAGGAGACATTCCTGTCCCGACCCGGGAAGCCAATTTTCTCACTGAGTCAAAAAGGAGCCCAACCAAACTACCAGATTCACATTCTCCTCTCCACCTGATAGTTAAAGTTGCCCCTGCAAAGCTGCCCGAGTCTCACACTACATACAGCAAGGACTGAAGCCAAGCTAGAAATGGGCTGGATTGTTCTGGAAAACTTAGAGGCGATAGGTCACAGGGGCATCCAGCAAACCATGCCAGTTCAAGAGGCATTCTTTTAACTTGAAAAAGTATCTGCTTGAAAAAGAACAAATTGTTTTGCATGGCTGGGACACCAAATTCATTTCCCTGCCAATTTTGTCAAAAGCCAAATGTAAATTCACATACAAAGCTTTGTGAAACTGGAGCTGATTCATATTTGTAACCTTAATACTAGGCAAGAATACAAGTACTATAAAGATAAGCATAAAGAGTAGCAAATTAATGGCAAGGGCAGAGTTAAGGTTGTTTAGAATACTACAAATTTGTGTATTTTCATACTTCTCAACACATTTAAGTTTTCACATATATGCAGTTCAGAATATGTCCTGAAATAAACAAGAGCTAAATCTGAAGCTGCATGGTCTGCAGCTATATGGTTGTCAGGACAGTAATACAAAACTTGTTTTGGGCTAATAGCAAACAAGGGTGGAGTTAAAGGGAAAGCATCATGCTGTATTTCTCTATTTTCCAGTGTTTGCTTTTTAGAGTTTTCCTATAAGCAATCCTTTCCTCTTTTGCTGCACTTCATTTCTGAACAACTTCAATAGTCTTTTCCTTAAGTTATTGATACTTATATACAACTTTGACTGCTTTTTTGAGGAGTGAAACAGGAGGTGATGACCTGGAAATGGATATAAAGAACCAATAACTGGGTAGAATTAAGTTCAACATGAATCCCCTCTTGTTTGTTTGTTAGATAGAATAGCTATATCAAGGATCATTTTTCCTGTTATTTATACAGACTGGTAGCAACATAAATTAATTGCCTTCTACTTGTTTTGTATCAGTTTTGAATAAGTAATAAGGAGCTGATTAGGAACAACATAACCCCTGTAGTGCCCTCTCCAGGGCAGAAAGGCTGGATCCATTCTTACCCCTGGCCAGGGCACAATATAGCAGAGTCATGGTAGGAACAGCTCATCAATACTCTGGCTGAGTGACCAGAGCCAACTAGACTCCAGGGAGTTACCAGATTCAAGTGTTGGCCTTACTCTTCCCTGCATGGATTCTCAAGGGCTCACCTTTTTGCAGCAGTGGGTTTAGGTGGTAAGAAGAGTGTTGGGAGTTCCTGTCACCTCCCATGTAGAATGGGTGGTGTGTCATCCAAGGCATAAGGTTCCGTGCCTGCTTCATGAACCGATGTCGTTCCAGGGCTAGGCAAGAAGAGACACATTTACAGCATCTCTGCTCAGGCATTGCCAACCCATTGCTCTGGATACAAATTTTGCTTGATACATGGCAGCATGCAGCATTGAGCAATACAGAGTTACAGGAGATCAGCCTTGGGGCAAAGCTAAAACAGAGCCAGGGGCATGCCAGGATAATGAGTATGACCCAGGAAAGAAAGAAGAAGATGTGTAGGGCAAATGTAGAAATGGAAACACAGGAATTCTGCTAGGTTGTGCAACCATCTTAGACAGCTGTGTGAAGAGCTCCATTGTGAGGTATCGTTCTGTTATATACTACACCTTTAAATGTAAAAAGTCTACCTGCTTTCCACTAGGGGCAGAGCTATGAAGCAGTTTAAGATGGAGATTTGAACACAGTGACAGAGGCACTCTACTTCCTTCTTCCTCTTAATCCCTCTCTAGCTCCTCCATTGTCCATTATTGCTGACAACACTTCCAACCTTCTTTTTGACCAGAACTGCAGCTGGTATGGTGGTGGGGAGTCCCAATAGACCCTTTGCTCTCTTTTGCCCCATCCATGCAGACTGTCCAAATCTTGCTGTTTCATCTTCTACAAGGTATCTCAAAAGCCATCCCTTCTGTTGTCCTCAGAGCTAAGGTGCTCTGCCATGCTCTCTCCAGCTCCTGTCTGGATTACTTCAACCTCCTTCTCTCTGGCTGTCCCCCAACACCTCTATTGTATCCTTAAAATCAATTCACAGGATAGCTGCTAAAATTATCTTCTTTGCTCACCAATTTGACCATGTCATCCCAAATGTAGAATTTCTCCCCTCCCCAGTTTGGACTTCTTGTTCTCACCATCAAACTGCAACAAACTTAACTCCGGTCTGGTCCACTGATCTTTCCTCTCACTGCATTCCCCCTCCTGCTCCAACTCTCTACTACGTCTCAAAATCCTTTTTACCTTCCCCTTCTTCTTCCTGCCCCTAGATGTGGCATGCTCCTCCCATATCTATTTGCCAACACTTCCCATTCAAGTTCCTCCGGAAGACTCACTTCTTCTAGGGACACCCATATGAAGTGAGTGCACACACAACAGATTGTGTCTTCTATAGGGCAGAGTAAGCTCTCTAGGGCAGGGACCAGCTTCATTTCACATTTTGTGCAGCATTCGGTGTGTTACTGATATTAATCAAATAACGGAGACTCCACGCACCTGACAAAGTGGATTTTTACCCATGAAAGATTATGTCCAAATAAATCTGCTAGTCTTTAAGGTACCACAGGACTCCTTGTTTCTTGGACTGATTGCACTTGTTCTGCACACCTGCTGAATGCCTTATTTCCAGACACTGGAGCAGCAGGGGCTCCTAGCAGGAAAAGCTGCTGATAGGAGGGAGTAACACGCAGAGCTTTTCACGGGACTGATACCTGTGTACACACGGGATGAATTTGACCCATTGGGCCAAATTCATAGGGGTGGGGAACCTCAGGCCTAGGGGCCAGATGTGGCCCCCAGTTTGCCAGGATCTGGTCCTGGTCCCACCCACTGCAGGGCTGGAGCACGCAAAATCTAATAGTTTGTGCCCTCACTAGGCTTGGTTGTGTGAGGGGAATGTGGGGATTGTCTCTCTCCATCTGTCAGGGGCCACATTAGTAGGGGTGTGGTTTTTTTGGAGGGGGGGGGAGGAAGGGATTGTTTCTCCCTTGTGTGCGACCCCCGACTGATTTTTCTGTGGGTCAGTGGCCCCTAACCCAAAAAAGGTTTCCCACCCCAATATACAGAATGCAAATCCCAAACCATGATAAACTCATCTGGTTCGGTTACCCTTACTGAACCTTTGATTTTAGTATGTCTGCACTGCATACTGTGTACAGTGGTGATTAGGGTATATATGGCGCATGTCCCCCTAGCATGAGTATAAACAGCATTGTAATGTGTAAGGTACTGCTTTGATGAGCAGAGAAAGACATGCCTGAAGCCTGCAGCTCTGCACCTAACACTCGCTATATGCCCAAGTAGTGCCTCTCCTGTCTAAACTGGGACTTTTAGCAGTGCAGTGTTCCACGGCTGAAGCCTTTTCCCACCACAGGGAAAGGCTGTGGCAGTGAAGAGGCAGTGGGGAAAGGCTCTAGCAGTTCCCCATTGCCTCCCCTCTGCCACAACCTTTCACAGACACACATAGCTACACACAACAGTGTGCACACAGCCTGTTTTACACTGTGGCATGCAGATAGCTATATGTAAGGGGACTGTTACCCCTTACTAAAACTCTGTGGGAGTTTTTTGGTTTATCAGCTTCAGAAGGGGAAGGGTTCATGAGACTGACAGACCCCAGAGACAATGGAAAGCAGTCAACACTCCAGCTCAGCCTGACTGACAGGTTGTAAGTGGGGATTGTTCTGGCTCTCTCTGAGCAAACAGGGAGCTGAAAGAGCAGAGCAAGCTGTGTGCAGAAGAGGTCCTGCAAAAGACAGAGAGCTGAAAAGAGCAGTGCAAGCTGTATGAAGGAGTCCTGCAAAAGGAACAGAGAGCTCAGACACTGCTAAGAGGAGTGCAAGCTGTGCTGAGGGGCAGTTTTTGCAGCAGCAGAGCCAGGCATACACAGCACAGGGAGTGCAGAGCCTGTGTTGAGCAGCAGACTGGCAGTGCTCAGAGCCAAAAGGAACAGAGAAGCAACACAAGGAGCTGGAACTGGCCAAGCAGCACAGCCTGCAGCTGGATGTGGTGAGCACCTGGGACCAGCAAAGTGTGGGGAAAGGCTCTGGACTGGGAGAGAGGTCTGGCCACTTCGAGCTTGAGACTGTGTGGTCACTACCAGGGCTAGCGTGTCCAGCCTGTAGCCCCCCCTGCAGCATATCCAGGGCCTCTAAGAAAGAGACTGTGGACTGTCCTTACACCCTGCAGACTGCTGTTTTGATGTCCCTCTGCTACAGAGCAAGGCTGTGTGTTCTCATTTAACCATTCTCATTTTGTCTTATTCTTTCCTCTTTAATAAGTTGTTGTTTAATAAATTGTATTTGCTTTGAACCTTATGAAGTGATCACTGGGCCAAGAAGGCCTGCAGTGTAAAGAGAGCACCTCGGAGTGGGGATACCCTAACTCCTGCCCCTAGTGACTACAAGGTCAGGGATTAAGCCCCAGGAAACCTGGGCCCAGCCTTGTTGGGGCTTCAAGGGCTCTGCTACTCTGGAGAGTGGAGGGGGAGCCCTCAGGATCAGGGAGCCGTGGGGTAAAGGAAGTGGGAGCGGGGACTCAGATCCTTTCGCTGGTTCATTTCACTGGGGTGTATAGAAGCCAGGAAAGTTCCCCACAATAGCGGGATCATTCCCCCGCTTACATATAGGTACTCTATGCATCTCTGCCATTGGTGTGCACTGTAGGCATACCCGAAAAGTGACTCAAACCCTAGGTCTATAACCATTACTTGGACATTATCCCCAGCTTTTCTTGCTTCAGATGGGGTGGGTCGCCCTCTAGCGGCCTAAGCGAACAAAGATTCCATATGTGCAAGGAATTGTGTCTGAAGAGTTGTTCTGGGTGTACTGGGACAGTCCCAGGTTTTCTCCCAACCCCCTCCCCATAATATCATTTTATTCCAGGAACTTATTGTGACGACGTGTCGGGATTTTCCCATCTCCTGCACCCCGAAATGGCATGAACAGACTTCACCAGCCAGTAGAATGGAGGTTGTTTATTGTTCCTCCAGCACAGCGCAGCACAGATGTAATCTGGTTACAGGAACTGGGGCTAAGAGGCCTCAGTGCCCCCCTTGAGATAGGGGAGTCCCAGCACCCCTCCCCAGCTCCTTCTTCCCTGCCTTCCAGCCAGGAACTAACCTCCCCTCTTCCAGCCCTGCCCACAGCCAGGGCAGCATTCCACCTCCCTTTGTTTCTCCCCATGGGGGGCTGCAGGTCAGACATGTTTTTTGAGTCACCTTTGCATAATGAGGTTTTCCCTGCTGGGTCTTGCTCCAGACAGCAGAGGTCACCACAGCCCAGCAAGTACCCCCACTACGTCACACTTATACTCTAGCATCCACATCTGTTTGTTTTGGGAGGAGACTAGTAGCTTTCTAGATGCTCAGACATTAAAAGACTACAAGGAATTGAGTTAGGGAGCAATGGAGCAGAGCAACAGCTGGAAGGACCCCTGAAAAGCAGTAGGAAAGGAAGAATTGCTTGGAGGGTTTCTACACACACCAATCCCTGCATGCAGTAGAGGAAAAAGTGCAGAAGAATGGGGAGGACTGGAGGAGACCACAAATTACTATCAAGGAATCAGAGAAAGAAGAGGCACAACCAAAGAAGTTGATCTCCACATGGGTGTTGGAAGTAGGCATTCTGACACACACCCCTGGCTTGAAGTGCTTTCCATTCTACACAGAGTTTATAGTTTGGTTCAATGGCTCTCGGCACCCTCCCATAGAAAGTGTTCCAGCATCCCTGGCCATCCCCCACAGCCCAAGCCAGGCCAAACTTAAGTGGTGCTACAACCTTATATGCCAGGCTCAATGCCCATTGCATGGATACTGTGGGACAAGAGACACGGCTGTAGGATGGGTTTGACCTCCCATAAAACACCACGAGAGGTTACTCTCCAAACACACAATGTGTCCTGCCCAGGGCCTCCCTTCTGCTCTGGACCAAATGTATCTGTTTGCCTAAGACCCAGAGAGGGGGTAATCTGGCCCCAGCTGTGAACTGTTGCTTTTGCAAAGTTAATTTCCAGAGCAGACCCACACTTTTAAGGAAAAGTTTGTTGACAGAGCTACAAAGAGCTTGGTGGGAGGGCAGGGTCTGTATTTTGATTCCTGGGACAAGGCAGTCACAGCCTACCTCAGTGGATGGAGTAGAAGAACTGCAGTGGGATAGGGAAGAAACAACACTGAGCTAGCCACGAGGAAAATGGTGGAGGGGAGGAGAGAGACATGGGGTGAAAGTTGCTAACTTTGCATTGGGGAAAAAGAAGGAGGGGTGACACACGATGGTAACCATGTTTTCTAGACTCCCGTCTTAGAAACGTTGTTCTGAGGGCAACACCAGTCAGAGAAATGTCACAGGCTAGCTTGCTACTAAAAAGCCCTGCTTCCTCCATACAGTGAGACATGTTCCATATCTGTGAAAGCCAGAGCGTATGGGATTTACATGCCCCTTTGGGCCTCACCTTCCTCGTTGCAGCAGCAGCGGGTTGGGCAGCAGGCACAGCGGACATGGCAGCAGCAGTGTTGGGGGCAGCACTGGCACCAGCACACCCCGATAAGTATGAAGAGAAGGAGACCGCCAAGGATGATGAAGATCACCGTGAGCCAATCTAAAGGGGAGAAGGAGAGAAGAATTAAGACAAACCCTGACCATATGCTGCTGCGTGCAGCTCCTTGAGGCATTCCAGGTGAGAGAGGAAAGAGAATGGCAGGAGAGATCTGTAGATAGGTGGAAAAAAACCAGAGCACTGGCACTTACGCAGAACAACCAGCTTAACTTCTTTGTCTGGGTCACCTGCAGTGTCTCCTGGAGCCTCAACAGCACAGTAGTACACTCCGTGGTCCCACCACATCACCTCGTTGATTACAAGGTCTGCCCCTAGGGAGGAAAAACGTGCAGTGAGCACAGGGGACTCTAGCACTGGCACTGCTCTCAGACCCTAGTGTGACAAATTCCTGCACTACAGACCACAGACAAGGGCCGCAGCTGCACCCGTGTCTGTTGGGGACCTAGAAACATGGCCTTCATCTGCAAATTGTAAAAGCTAATGTGTGTAACTTGATTTCAAAAGTTAAAAAAGGAAGGCAATTGCTTCAGCAAGTCCCTTATCCCTTTTGTGGCCTTACCCACTAGAGGGTAGCCTTGCTTACAAATGGTACACAACATCACCATGTCTGCTGCAAAAATATGATTAAACCTTTACACTGTCCATTCTTCTCTCTTTCCAAGCTCTCATTTAATAATCTTTCACTCCTTTTTCTCCTCCTATCAAAGAATCATCCTATTATTTTCCTAGAGGAACAACAGTCAGCCACATCAGAGCACTTCCTTGCACAATAAGAAAAATATCCCTAGATTTCTCATATCAGACTGAATCTAATATCACACCTCCTATCCACATCAGATCAAATCCTGATGCATTAAGTTTGGTACCCCGCTGCCTGACTGTACCACACCATTTAATCAAGTCTAGTAGCCCAAGTCCAGCTATAACTACTACCATGTTTCAGAGGAAAGTGAACTCCATATAATGCACCCGGTCACTTGCCACACATGGTGCAAAATTCCTTCCTACCTCCTATGCTCAGCTTGTAGGACAGCAGTATGTCCAAGTGCCCTTATATCAGCTTTAGCTTGTGGAGCTGCAAATAAACATTATCCAGTGGTGACATTTACCCAGAATCAGGCTGCAGGCTTCATTCACAGTGTCTGTAAGTCATAGATAGAGTTGACGAGGTTCACAGGTTGTGAAGCGAGGGCAGCAGAATGTTGGATGGCTATTTGATTCATGCCCTCTCTCCTCCCCAGTGGTCACTTACGATTTTGGATGGTGATCTTGCGTTGCCTGTAATCTATCCCTAGCACAGGCTCGTTCTGTCCACGTCTCTGAATGACGATGCGCACTTCCCGCTGGTTGTCATTACAGTCATTGGATGGGTCCTGGCCAAGCGCTAACCCAGCCTGGTAGGCTACAAATAAGCCATTAAACACAACTTAGATAGCAACAAAGATTTGAGTCAATCACTGATCTGAAACCTCAAATGCTATCACCTCAAAAAGGACAGAGAGAGTCCCTTACTGGCAAATCCCTTACACCTGCATGTGAGTGAACATATGAGTATGCACACTTTACTTTGTGCTGAGTCTTCAATACAAAGTGAACAGCAAAACAGGGAGGACAAAATCTTCTACAGAGTTAGAAAGTGAATGGAGATGGAAAAATCAGTGAGGAAGTGGGACTTTGTGAGCTGGCCACCTTTCTGCCCCTCCCAGCATCTTCACCACTGCAGGAGTAAGAGCCTTCTCCTCTGTAGCTGCTGAATTCTCAGTGCGTAGTGGAATCATGAGGTAACCAAAGACATGCAATCCATTGGCCAAGCAAAACAAATCTCCATCATTAAAAAAAAAAAAAAGTTTCTTAAAGAGTTTTGAGGTGTTTAATAGACTTGTATAGATAGTCCCCTCTCCCTCTACTTTTTGCATGTTGCTGTTCATGTAAATGAGGAAGAGACTGTGTAGGAGGACAGGGCCTAGCATGCTATAGGCACTAATGGAATATAGAATCTGGAAATGGACAGGGAATCCAGAGGAGTTATTGGAGCAGATGATTGATTCACCAGAGCAAGCCATCATCATCATAATCCTCAACCTCCAGGTAAGTGGGGAGGTAAGACTTGAGAAGACAATATGGAAGAGAGGTAAATCATTTTTACAGCCAGTCACCAGCCTTATCCCTCTTTATAAGGGTTTATTTGTTGGGGCTTAATCACATGGGCTACGTCTACACTGGAGGCTTCTTGCGCAAGAACAGCTGTTCTTTCGCAAAAACTTGCCGGATGTCTACACTGCACACGCGTTCTTGTGCAAGTAAATTTACAGTCTAGCGTCGGAAAACAGGGCTTCTTCCAGAAGAGTTATTCCTCTCCCCACGAGGAATAAGCCCTCTTGTGCAAGAGCTCTTGCGCAAGAGGTCAGGGTAGCCAGGCAACATGAATTTATTGCGCAAGAAACCCCTATAGCTAAAATGGCCATCAGAGCTTTCTTGTGCAAGAGAGCGTCCATACTGCCATAGACGCTCTTGCGCAAAAGCACATGCCAATGTAGACGTGCACTTGTGGAAGACTTTTTGCACAAGAACTCTTCCGCAAAAAGTTCTTGCGCAAGAAGCTGCCAGTGTAGATGTAGAGTGGAGGAAAAGGAGGGTAGATGTTGAAGGCTCGCTGTCCTGAGTGTCCCTAAGGGTCAGTCCAAAGGGCCATGCACAAGATACCTGCTCAAGTGAGACCATCACCAGACACTAGTATGCTATGGCTCATCTCTCCCAAAATTAGGCATTTGCTTCATTTCCTCAGAACCTCTTAAATGATAATGCCTGGTCACTGCTGGCCAGCTATAACCACACTGGCCTTCATTCCTGACCCCATCTTTGGAGGCAGGAGATCTCATTTATAAAGCCTGTTTGCAGTTCACTGTCACTACCCACAGGGCCTCTGTTTCTAACCCCACAAAGGCAGAGCTCTGAGTTCCACGCACAGCAGTGACATTCACAATGCCTATCATTGGCCAGAACATCTGTGGAAGCGGAATCTTCAAGCTTTCAGTCCCTGCCATAAATTGCCCCGAGCTCAGAGCCTGCAGGAAATGCCACGCTCCTGTTTGATTTGTAGGCAGCAGAGGGTCAAAAAGCTCAGCCTCCCCCTGGTGAGTCTCCCTCCTTTCTCCACACCGTAGAAGGATCCCAGGGTGAAGGAGCACAGCACTTACAGGCAGAGTAGTAATCGAAGATGGGGTCCTTGCAGAAGGATTTGAAGCGCCATGTCACTACAACATCCTGCAGCTGCGCTGAAGTGCTGTAGTCACACTTGAGGATCACAGAAGCAAATAAGGTGGTGTATCGCTCAATATCTTGCACTATCACCAGCAGGGAGAGAGAACCTGCAGGAGAGAACACAAGAGGTACCAGCCAGTGGGAATGGAGGTCACAGAAAAGCTGCCATTTGGCAATAGTAACACTGCCACCTTGCCCTTCTGAAGCAAACTTTCGCTCTAGCCCTTCACGAACACTACACTAAATCTACACCAGAGCTATTCAACATGTGGCCCGTGTACCTCATGCGGCCTGCAACCCATTTGTTTGTAGCCCGCGGTGCGGTTTGGGCTTGTGTGGTACTCAACACACAGCCCATATGTAGGATCTTTTGAACATGGCCTCCGCTGGGAACATGTTCCACAATGGCGAGGCGTCTCCCAGGTGGGGTGAGCATTGAAAAATGCAAGCTGATGGGCTGGCTGGAACAGACAGGTACAGGGTGTCCATGTTTCTAGCTCCCAGGGAGGAGGTGCCGGGGCACTGTGGGAAGTGCTTTGTATTCATGCCCATCAGTGTGAAAGAAGCTAGTTGCGTATATTTGTACATATATGCAACCGCACTTAAGTTACGGCCCTCGGTATGTGCTGTGAGTATCATTGTGGCCCCCTGGGGTTTCCAAAGTTGAGTAGCCCTGATCTACTTAAATCTGGCTCCCACCAACATAACTGCCCCACTGCTGACTTAACTCCATCTCCACAAGAGATGTAGAGTCAAAGTCAATGTTCTTAGGTCAATGCAGAGTCAGAGTAGAAACTGTTTTACTGGCTTTCAGGAACTGTCCCACAATGCCGCCACTCTGACAGTACAATCAATGCAAGCTGGTAAGGATGCACACCACAGACACAAGGAGCAACGTGTTGACATGTATCAGAGGTGTAATCACTGTTGTTGCTATGACAACTTAAACTAGATTGACTTAGTTTTATTGTATAGACATGGCCTTAAACTTATTATCCTAATGAGCATAGCATCTGTAGGTCTAAAAATGTAAACATCATTTTTAACCATTCCAAGCTATTTGCCACAATCCTATGGGGCATCAAATTGATATAAAAGGATAACACTTCCATATACCACTGTAACAGGAAAGTTAATAAAGGCAGCCCATTTGTCAGTTCAGAACAATTCACATCACTTCTTTTTAATATTTTGACTTTCCACATCTCATTAATCCAAATAGCTAATCCTTGCCAGTCTGGGCATTTTACACCCCAAAACAACTTTATCTACTGAGTACATTTGTAAAGGTTTCAATAAATAGCACATTAGCTCAGTCACACTTCAGCATTTCCCTTATCGAGGGTAAATAAGATAACACAAAAGAGTGTGTTTGTTATTAATAATAACAACAAAGATATCTCCAGCACCTTTAGATAACCCCACACAAACACTGCTGAAGGTGGGAGTAGCCCACACAGCACAGGATATGGCAAGGCTGGGATGAAATGGGTTTAGGGAGATTTTCAAAGGCAACTGTCCTACTCCAGCAGAAGGTCATTGTAAAATGGCATCTAACTTCTTTTTTGAAGAGCTCCTCCATAATCCCATATTGCCAGCGTTCTCACTGCACACCCAGCTCCCCAGTCTTTTTGGCAGTAAACTCACTGCTACACCTGACAAAATCTTGAGCTGATTAGACCCTCAAAAGGTTCAGGGACATACAGTATCTCTTTAAGCTTCAAATCAAAGCAACACAGCATACCACTCCCTTTAACTATTTCTAACATTTAATTCCTGCCTATAGGACACTAATACCTAGAATCCATATAGTGCTTTTTATCTTTAAGTCTCTTAACGATTCATCTTTGTAACTTCCATTTTACAGAGGGGGAGACTGAAGCACAAAGGTAAATAGCCTGGTTTTCAAAGATGCAAGAAATTCCCATGGAAACAGGCAGGACTTGCAGATGCTCTTTACTTCTGAAACATTAGGCTAACTGATTCACCCAAGGTTACGCAACCAGTCAGTTGCAGAGTTAGATAAATAATCTCGTGACTTGATAGGCCAGTGAGCAGGGTACTGGAATTCCTATCTCCCTTCTCTGCCTGGAGAAGAGCACCAGATGGAACACTTGCTAGATTTTTAGTTACTGAAGTCTCAGATCTCATACTCATTCGTGAAATGGCACTGCCCTGGATGACTAGTAAAATCATATGAAGAATACTTGGTCCTGCTTCTGACCCAGTATCTACTTCTATGAAGGGAAACTGTTACCCTAAAACACATGATAGTTTAGATCACTCTCAAGAAGCCATTGTTGGGATCAAATGAACATGTAGGCTAACTCTTTGTCTCTCACTTTTCATCCTTACTAAAGTTATTGGGAAATTAATGCCACAACACTTCTAGCAGCATCTGACCTCTATGCAAATTCTATACCAGTCCCAGACAGGCTTCAGACCTGGATATAGCAAGGAGACAGCAATGATAGCACTGGTTGAGCCGTCTCCTCACAGCCACATACCCAAGCCAAATGTCCATACCAATACTTTTGGAAGTACTGCTTGGCTTCAGCAGTTAACCACAGAATACTACTAGTTCACCTGCACTACCATGGGTTGATGGGCTAGTCTACATTAGAATTGCTATAATTGCTCAGCTGTACCAACACAGCTGCACCACTGCAGCTCTGCCAGCGTAGACACTCTGGCTGTGTCTACATTGGCATAATTTTGTGCAAAAACACGCTGCCTGTCTAAACTGGCGGGGAGTTCTTGTGCAAGAACACTGATGTTTTAATTTGTGAAATCAGTGCTTCTTGCGCAAGAACTATGATGCTCCTGCTCCCGCTCAGGAATCAAGTGTTCTTGCGCAAGAGACAGGCAACATGAATTTCTTGTGCAAGAAAGCCCGATGGCTAAAATGGCCATCAGAGCTTTCTTAGCAAGAGAGCGTCTACACTAGCACAGATGCTTTTGCGCAAAAGCACATGCCAGTATAGACGCTCTCTTGCGCAAATACTTTAACACAAAAACTCTTGCGTTAAAAGTATTTGCACAAAATCTTGCCAAAGTAGACATAGCCTCTATGCTGAGGGGAGAGTGCTATCTCATCAGCACAGTTACTCCACCTCCCTGAGCAGTGGTAGCTATGTTTGACCTTTGTTGAGCTGTCAAGGAGACCACAAGATGCTCAAGACCAAGGAGCCACCCACTGCTTTCTCCTCAGTAGCAGACAGAACCATTACCTTGGTGCCTCAACATTACAATGAAGGCAGTACTTGGAGGAAAGTCAACTGGTTCAGGATTAGCACAGATGAAGTAGGGGTGATGCTAGCAGGGGGAAGTCCTTAGATGAACCACACCTTCTAAGGAGGAAAAGCTGCCCTCCGTTTGCCACTGCTCAACAAAGTCTTGGAATTCTTATAGGAATGGTTGCTACTCCTATGGCGCCCCCACCTCCAAACAGCAACTGTTTGGCTGGTCAGGAAACAGCTTGTTCCTCTCAGATACAGAGCTGATGGTGGGAATCCATCTCTTGTCCCATCCAGGCTGAACCACTGCAAGCAACGCATTTTATTGGGGTCTGACCTGTGACCAGTATATGAACATTTTAGCTGGAGCATCATGTAGCAGTGTCTCCTGGAGCCAAGCCAATCAATGAGCCACACAACGCTTGGATTTTGCTCTCCACATTGACCCCCTCTCAATACCGGCTTTGTTAAGATCATGAGTAGATGAGGCCACCTTTGAGTCATCCAGTGACTGACCAGCCCGTCCAGCAATCCACCAGCAACGGGGGAAGGCTGGGAGAGATTTCTCCAGAGCTGACCCCCGTCTCTTGAAGGCTCTTTTCCTGAGGGAGAGCATCTCTGCCCCCCATAGAGCTGTAACCCATTGTGAAACCCCAAAGGAGGCTGCAAAGCAGCCCAGCTCCACTTGCCTCTTCTCCCGGGAAGGATCAGCCCCCGTCCCGCGGGGCTCTAGGGAGAAGGCTGCTGCCTTCTTGCAGGGGGCAGGCGGATGGCACAGCACCCAGGCTAACCGCAGAGCTCCTGCATCTTCCTCCCCCCTACCTCTGTGGGTGCCCTGCTTGGAGGGGGAAGAGCCCAGATGTCCCTCCTCCAGGGGGGGCTGCACGCACCGCACCCAGCGGGGGCCCCAGGAGGAGACACCCCCCATCTCCCCGGCAGCAAGAGTCCAAGCCCGGGCAGCTGGGAAGAGCAGGAAATCAGAGACTCTGCTCAGCTGACAAGCCGCCTCCCCGGGCCCTGAGTGGCAGGAGGCGGGTGGACGGGGCGCAGCCCCTGTGCAAAGACTCCCTGCGCGGCGCCCGCTGAGCCAGACCCGGTTGCAGCCTCCCCCCCCACTCACCTATGGGGAGCCAAGTGAGGATCAGCCCCTGCAGCCACCGCCAGCTCCGGGCCATGGCGCCGCCTCCCTCTGCCCGGAGCTTTCCCCCGAGGGTCACCGTGACAGCCCAGCGCTCCGCCTCGCCTCCGCACAGCAGCCACCTGTGCCTGCTTCCTCCTCCGCCCCACTGCCCCCGGCCGCTCCCTGCCCTAGGAAGCGAACCACCAGCAGTGCCTGGTACTTTCCCTTCCTCGAGCCGCTGCTGCCATCCACTAGCCCTGCAGGTGCCGCTCCTTGCCCGCCCCCTGGCAAGCCCCTCCTCCTCTCCCATCCCCACCTGCCTTCCCTCACAAACAAACCCGAGTAACTCCCCCTTCCTGCCAGCCGGGGCGGACTTCGCCCTCAGCCCGCCTCAAGTCCAGCAGGAAAACGCTGCCCGTCCTCTCTCAGCGCGGGGCTGAGTTGAAACCCCGACTAGCACAGGCGCTACTGGAAATAAAGACCAGGCTCAGCGTGTGTTCCTGTGTCGCACCCTTTAAAAACAAACCAAAACAAAAACAAACACTGGCGTGTCAGCTAATATCATCATCTCAGGTCCCAGCACAAAACATAGCTGGTCACAACAGTGCTTGGGATTTTAAAACAATCTTTTAATTAGGGGATCCCTCCAAATTTCCCCCTTTTAAAGGTGACAAACCCCATTTTTCCTGGCTTCATTTTCTTATAAATGGGTGGCTGAAGGAATCTTGAACCAGGAATTTGTTTCTCCATGTTTTCTCAAGACTCCAAACAAGGAGGGAGGCAACAGCAAAAAACGTAGGCACTTGGGGTGATGGTGGCACTAAACGTGCCTTAGCTATCTGAGTACTTGTATCTGAGCATCTCATCATAAATATTATTGTCTCCTCACTACAACTCCATGAGGAAGGGAATTGTTATTACTCTTACCTCACAGGACTGAAGCACAGAGAAAGGTCTAGTGTAGAGGAGCTGTTTGCAAATTTCAGGAGCAGGGTGGCAAACTAGATTCAAAATTACTGCTTCTACTTCTCTTGCAAAACTTGCTCCTCTCTTTCTAGCTATGCCTGACAGCCAAACCACAGTGATTCCTCCCCTGATTGGCTTATCTTCCTCTATAGCTGCCCCCTCCAACAAACAAATCCTAAAAAGCTAGTGTAGATCCCTCTTCATTAAATGTAAAGTTCCTTTGCTTGCATTATTTTTTTCTGAGGTGAAATCACTTCTCTCTAGGGATCAGAGACAGCAACAAACAGAAAAAAAAATCCTCTACTTCTTACTTTCAGATACCAAGTCCTTTAGCTATAACTTTGTTCTATAACTGCAATCTACTGGCATATACTGTATATTCCTGCTCTCACAAACACAATACACTATGTATTGAACAATAAGAAGAAAAGCTCTGTGTAAAATCAAAGGTGTGTCTCTTTTTTCACCAACAGGTGTTGGTCCAATAAAATATATTACTTCACCTAACTTGTGTGTTTCACAAAAAAGAAAGCCATTACACTCTCTGCATAGGAACTAAATTAACTTACTTCAAGGGATAACAGGGATAACAGCCTGTCTATGAGATCAGGACTTAATTGAACACCCATAGATTTAATGAAAGAATGTAAGCTGCATATTCAGTATGCAGTTATGAAATGCTCATATATAACTGGCAAATCTAAGTCAATTAAGACTGTCTAATCTTCAGTTAAGATTGGAATATACCCAGCTCAATTTCCTTTTTCAAAGCACAAACATTTTTCGCACAGCCCTGTTGAAAATAGCTTGGTTAGAATTTGTTTATAAAGGAAAAATGCTTGTCCTTAGTAGTTAACTAAGTTAGGGGGGTTGTGGATTGTTCTAGTTAGGAGAAGAACTTGATGATAGAGTGAAGGGTTTTTTAATGCAATCTTGTTTATTCACAAAGATTATACAATAAGTTCTGTTTCCCTGAACACAGTAAGAATCAAATGATGAGAGAATTTCTTTACTTATAGGTCCAAACCTCTTTCAACCAATACTCCTGCCCTAAACATTTCTCTAAGACGTCTCAATGGTAGGGATGTAATAGTGTAGGCAATTAAACAATTAATCAATAAGTGGAAGCTTATTGGTTAACATTATTGACTACACCCATGGCCCCTCTCCTCCTCCTCCTAGTTGGTGGCTCTGCAAGTATATTTTTTAATGGGCTGGCCAACAGGCTGGCTCAGTCCTAGGCTTCCCGCTGCAGCTCTACATGATTAGGGAAATAGAGAACCAGCGTGTAGGCAGGCTGGCTCAGTCTCATCTCACACCAGGTCCTGGCATCGACCCCACTGTGGATCTGCATTATTAGGGGACAGGGGAACTGTGAAGGGGTTATGCTGGGACCTGGCACAAGCTGGGACTGAGCCAGCCTGCCAGCTCCCCAGTCTCCTAAATGCAGAGCCACAGCAGGCTAGGTGTCAGGACCCGGAGTGAGCAGGGACTGAGTGCTTTCATTGCTAACCCTTATTGATTAATTATGTAGTCAACAACCTTTTTGTCAAATACATGATTAACGAAGTACACCCTTTTTAACATCCCTACTCAAAGGGCACTTACACCACCAAAAGATGACTGGACCATTTTGCTCTTTCTGTTTATGTGATCCCTTTCTGTGTGTTGTCTGTGTCTTGCTGTTGCCAACAAGTAAAACCCAATAGTAGGCAAAGTCCTGCACTCACACACTTGTAATTCCTGGGCAGACTTACATATGTCTTTGTTTTAGATGGAAGACACATAGCAGTCTCCTCCTGCTACCTTAAAAGAGGGCCAATGGTCACACAGGCAACAAGAAGTTTAATCCAACCAACAATAGATTTTTGTTTTCAAGGAGCCCATAATATAAAAGTGACTAAAGTGATTTTGCTCAAACCATTTATAATGATTCATCAGTAGAGACCAAGCATGGAATATTTCAGTCCTAAAGATGAAAGTTCTTGAAAATTATGACTATGAAAACACCAAGATATGAGGGAGAACTATTTTAGAATCTTAGCTATCATGGTAATTTGACTGGCTGACTTTTGATCTAGGAATGGCTATTACACATTCCAGTGCCAGATTTTCTCAGTGCCTGATTCAGGTACTGCTGCCAAACCTGCAGCTTCTGGAGTTGCATGTTGTGGGGCCTTCTAGGAATATAATGATACTCATGCCCAGAACAGGGGTGGATAATAGAAAATACTTCATACTGACACTTCTCTGAGATACCTTGAGAACATCTCAAGAGTTGGCGTGTCTTCCCTTTTAACTTTAAAGAAGAGATGGGTATGAAATTACCCAGGGTATAATCTGAACCAATTTACAACTGTGTCCCTCAGTTTTCCAACTTGGGGTGCTTTTTACACTGTTTTGCTATGAGAGTTACTACTTCTAGTCTGCTCTCACACAGCTTCCAGCATGTAAGTCACTCCCAGTTATAATATATGAGTGCTATAGCTATGCACTCTCAAATTACATTGCAGAGCAACACCAGCAAATTCCCGGTCCCAGACTTTCCTCAAATGTGCATCTTGCACTGACCGGCTTCCTCCTGGACAATACAAGCCCATATAAAGTCTGTCATTTTATCAGTAGAAAATTATATTCACAAATCCTCTCATCCCTAACAGAGTTTCCCAAATACTTCAAACACATTAGTTTAGATAATAAATTTGTTTATTAACAAATACATACATTTATTAGCCAACTTAACAAGCTATGTGAATTCATTATTTCTCTGCATTATTTCAGTCAGAATCCTTCCCTCGGTTCAATGCTACTTCCTTGTTCTTCAGTTGTTGCTGATGCCATGGTTGGGGTATCTGCTCTCCCTTCTTATCAGGCCCACTGACAAGGAGGAGGCAAAGGGGGCAACTGCCCTGGTAATTCTAAAGGACCTGGGACTTCTGGCGCTTTAAATTGCCCCCAGAGTGCCACATGGCATTCTCCAGGCAGCACTAAAGACTGGAGTGGGGAGCAGTGCACCACACTCCAGATGGCACTAAGGGCTGGCTGTCCCTAGATCCACCCATTTCACCAATTCTGGGAGCTTGGAATTCAGCCTCAGCCTGCACCTTGCCAAGGTGGCTGGTGAGCCTGTAGGCTCCCCAGCTTCTTATAGTTCTTTTCTTTCTCTGAGAATCATCTGTAGCTGAGGTTCAGAAAACTTCTGTTTCTGTGCTGACGGAACCCCAGGCTGTCTCTTTGTCAAGATGTAGATTTTTTTGTTCACATCTATTTTCTTGACAAAGAATAACTACTTAAGCAGATGATGTCCAATTTAATGGCCGAGGCACCAGTTAGCCTTTTGTTTCTTGTAACTGGTTTGTGACTGCTCTACTTGGAATAAATCTTAGTAATAGCATAAAGTATGATTCTATAACTTTTCACACAATGTTGCCACATATATTTTATCAGGGAAATAATAATCAGCAAATTACAAGTTTTCAAATGATTTCACACAGGGCATACTTTGTATAATATTTATCAGAGTCTTGCAAAAGGAGTGAACATAGGAGTACAGACCATCTGGATCCATACCTAAATCTATATTTTTAATTTGAGCCTAACTCCAGTTTAAAGGGAAGAGTTAAGATTATACACATCTATTAGTGGGGCAACATGGCAGTAATTATATCCTTATCGCATAGGATCATAGATGCTTAAAACAGGAAAGTGGTGTTATCACTCCAAAATCAACCCACTGTTTAAAACATAATAAACAAATAAATACACAATCCCAGATAAGCAAAAATATTTATTTTAATTTTTTAAAAGCTATTTTAAAGTATAAAATGTTAAAAAACTAACAAAGGCTTGAACAGGACTATCCTTAGGATTTATAGAGCCCTGCTCTATATTACCCCATACTACACCGTATTATTAAACAGCAAGTGGGACAGGAGGGGAAGATTTTTTAGAGATGGGATTATATAATCTTCAGCAACAAACTGCACATTTTAAATGCAGGTTCTGTAGACTAACTCAATAAATTCAGAAATTGACTGTATACACCCAGGGCTGGCAAATGCCTGTTAAATGGATTAATTGAATAACTCTTGAATAACTCTTTTACAAGCTCAATGTTTTGCTAATAGCTCTGGCAGGCTTTTCAAAGTTTCGAGTTAAGCAGATTCTCTCCAGAGGAAGCTGGGCTACACAACAGGGATAGAAAGAGGCAGATGAGTGGACATCACAACCCACTGTTGCCCCCAAATGTTCAGGTGCCCTACTATGCCACTGCATATTCTGAGTATGGATATGGAGGGCCATGG